AAAAATTATTATTATTATTATTATTATTATTATTATTATTATTATTATTATTATTATTATTATTATTATTATTTTTGAAAAATATTACCACTCTAATACTACTACTACCAGGCACAGATCTTGATTGACGAGAATCTGTTTGGATTTCAGAAACACACCAACGGCAGAAGACTATGCAAACCGCTTGCGCAAAGACTGGGACTTTGGTGAGTGTGGAGAGGACATCGTTATTGTTGGTGTAAAGGACACACAGCAGGTAAGTGTTAATATACTCTTAATATCATCATCATCACTACCATCATCATCTTAATCATTATCATCGTTATTATTATCACCATTATCATCATCTTTTTCTTCATGATCATGATCATCATCTTCTTCATCGTCATCATTATAATAATTATTGTCATCATCATCATCATCATCATCGTCATTCATTATAATATCTTTTAACTAATACTGTTACTCACTATTGTCACCGTTAATGTTGCTGGTAATGGTGTTGTATTTCTTCTTTATTTTTCATTTTATTCTGTTGATGAATACAAAATATGAATTGATTTGAAAATTGTAAATGAATGAAAATGTTGATTTGTTATTTTGTTCTTAATTTTTATGCAATTTCAGTCTCAGTGTTCTTATAAAATGTGTCCTTATAAAAAAAAAAGAGTACATAAAGCTTGGGGAAGGCTATTACTTCCGTATGTAGGCCTCTAGGCCTATTATAATATATAGATTAACATATACCCTTGCGAATTCATTAACAACATCGAAATGCGGCATGCTTGTGAAAATACTAAATTGCCAACTGATTGGTTGAAAATAGTCACCTGGTTGCTGTAAACTGTCTAGTCATCGTCTACTCTTATGCGCGATCAGACTAATGGTCTCAGATATTAGACACCAAGATTTACTCCGCTGAATTCGTACGAGGTCGAGCTTTTCGGAGAAGTAAATTAATTATAAAAATCATTTGATCAATCAATTATGTCTGATATAAAATGGTGGTCTTTATTTATTAAGAATATATAGAAAAGTAGATAGAATGATAATGTTAATATAATATTGGGTCTATTATTATTATTATTATAATTATTATTATTAATATTATTGTTATTATTATTATTATTATTATTATTATTGTTGTTGTTGTTGTTCATTATCATCATCATCATCATTATCATCGTCGTCATTATAATCACTAGGCCTATTATGTATTATTATTAGATAAATGATTTGAATGATGATGACTATGATAAAGATGAAGATTGTGATGATTTATTATTATGATGATGTTTATGATATTGATAATGACAACGATGAGGATGATGATGATGATGGTGATAGAAGCTGTGTTGATTGTTGACGTTATAAAACAAGAATCCGCCTGGAAAGAACAGATTTCACACGTTATTCATGCACATGCGTGAAACAGCATTGGCAATCGACGCACTGCGCAAATGACAGGGATCGATAGGGGACATCGGATCAGTATAGCGAGCCCGCCATCTAAGCATCAGAAACGAAAAGACGGTATCTATATTATAATAGAATGTATTTCAACAAACCACAGTTATTTCTTGATTACCCTCTTATCGCTACAAAATAGTATTCCGTCATTTTCCTATAATTAATACGGTATTCCTAATACAACTTTCCCCAACCTAGATTCGAACTCGGAGCCTTCGGCTGTCTATTTAGACCAACTGGGCCATTCGTTGGAAGTTCGAATCCGATTGGAGACAATTGTTATTTTCACTCTGTCGGTATGCCCATATGTCACGCAATCGATGCACACACGCGAAACAGAGATCTCGCGTGTACGTAGAATACCAGTGTTGTATCATATCGTATATACCAGGATAGCCGTTAACACTGTTAAATTATATATAAATAACCAAAGAAAGGTAAATACAGTATATATAATTATATATATACTGTATATACATATATATACACTGTTATACACTGTAATATATATCATCAAAGGAAGGTAAATACAGTGTTATAATAAAAGACATGATGGTACATCATGTAGCATAGCTCTCGATGAATGTTGTCCTGTAAATAATACATTCTGTAATAAAATGCTTCTGACGGGATTCGAACCTGCCATCTCTCGCTGTCAAGGCAAGCGTCATAACCATTAGACCACAGAGGCTTCATGGTTGATCATATTCAAATAACCGCCAGCTACATTGTATTACACAATGGTGCACCTCGAGAGGGTGTTAAGTGCGGCTGAAAATAAAATTAACCAGAGGAATAGTGAATTTAATGTTCCCCGAAATAACATAGTAATAATCAAGATAAGTTAATACTGTTAAATTATATATAAATCATCAAAGAAAAGTAAATAC